TTGCATTCATCTCATTCTCATGAATGTGTTATCTCAAGAACAGCTCGAGGGAATTTCTTTAAACTTGTCACAGAGGTCTAATTGGGCTTAATGATGAACTGATTAGATTTTGGTGGTCAAAGGTCAAAGTCAGTGTGACCTTGCATGTATCTCATTCTCGTGAATGTGATATCTCAAGAACGCCTCAAGGGAATTTCTTCAATTAAATATCTTTTTTTCTTCTTTTAGACTTCCACTTGGACTGATGGATAAACTGCTTTGAATTCTGGGGTCAAAAGAAAAAAGAAAAGAATTCATATGCTGATAATGACAAAACTTCACACAATTGTCTGATAGAATATAATGATGAGGTGACGACATTTTTTTCTATCCAAAAGATAAAACGTCAGCTTCACTGTGACATCATAATGTTCTGCATAAAACACCTTTCTTGCCATTAGCCAATGTCATATCTCAGGAACCAAAGGGGAAACATCTGGTCAGATACTGAATTGGTGACACTCATCTATGGTGCCCACCTTGAAACTACGCTGAATGTATAGATCTTCTGTGCTCCTGGGGGTACATTGGGTCTCATTCATGAAACGTGAGCAGAAGGAATTTGTGTGTAAACTGTTCGCAGATGGAAATTTACGTGCATGTCTGCATTCATCAATATTTTAGTAGCTCCGATCTTTTCGTAGCTACTAACAAAATCTACTCCTGCTCCTGACCACTCGTAGTGCTTGTGTAAATGTAGTAAAGCACATAAATATTGCTTGTCACTATTGGAAATTACAATTTTAATTCGTATTGCGCTCTGTTATGTACACAATACACAGATGCCTTTGAAACACGTAATCTAAACATGACAAAATATTAAAAATATAACACATTTAGTTAAATTAGTTGGCAATTAGCAGGTTTAAGATCCAGATTAGGTTCTTGATTGTGAATTATCTATGTAAATTGACTCAATAGATTACACGTTCTTTCTACATGTTGAATGATGATAATAAAAATATCCGTAAGGACAGCCGGATCACAGCCTCTTCGGCCTCGGTGCCTGGGTTCAGCAGGGGCAGCAGGGGCAGCAGGTAGTGGAGCCGCGAAGGAGCACGCGCCAGCTGAAAGAATTATTTGAGACAACACGGTTGTTGTTTTTTTGTGGCTTTTTGATCATTTGAATGAATAAATCTGATTTGAAAAATGTTTAATTTACGTTGTATAAAACAGAGCTTTAGGCTATTAAGATTCAAATAATTTGAAGACGATCATTTGTTAAAATAAATGTTAAGTAGCTCTACATTCCGACAGACATCACTGATTTAGAGTTTATCCATTACACACAAAACATCTCTGGTTTCCTGTTCCCACTTCATTCAAAACCCCACAAATGAATCTTCTGTTTGTTTGGTGACCGCTGTATTTTTTTGTGTGTGCTTATGCGTTTCTTTGCCTCCAGTTTCATATCAAACCATTTACACTTCACTTCTGACATGGTTCTTTGTACTACAGACACAACATTAACAGCATCTGTTACCTCCCTCCAGGCCTTCTCTTTGCCTGTCCCTGTCACACCACTACTAACTGAAGAAAATAAAATGTTTTTTGTTAAGTCCAATTCACCCAAAATTATTTCGATCTCCGCTTCGGAAAAAATCTTTTTTTTTTTCCCTCTCAGTTTCTTTGTTTGCGCCATGACTGACAGATCAACTGGATGCACCTACACCTCCTTATATGTTGGTCATTGGCTATTCATGGGCGGGGATTTATGCTAATTGCTGATTACCGGGAGCACACTGTCAATTTACGATGGATTGGCATTCATGATCATACATACGTGTTTACGATCAAATCTGAGTTTCCCGTGACGTTCCTGAATCCAGAGTAGCTTTTTAGTAGCGTAGGCTTTTATGTGCAAATCTACACACAGATTTACTCACTTTTCATGAATGAGATCCATTGTGTGTAAAGCAGTCATGTTTTCACAGACATGGATGTAAACTGTGAGAGATACTTGACTAGTGCATGCAGGCATACCACTGTGAGGCAGTAATTCTCGTTTTTATTTAAGTTTGTTTAGATGGTACCGATGAGTACGTGTCACAACTTTTCCTTAAAAGTTACTTACCCTCAAAGTCCAGCTTGGTCCCGTCTCCAAACAGTATGTGTCCACATGAGGCAACAGCACAGTAGTAGGTCCCAGCATGAGAAAGATTCAGGCTCTTCATCGGCAGGTTGTAGACACAGGTGTGTGTTTGTGTGTCAGGTTTCCTCTCACACTGATCATTCCTGCCTCCATGGCTGTAAATGAGTCCTGGATGAGACTCTTTAGAGTTTTTGAACCAGTAAACACTGTGTTCTCCATCATCACAGCTCCCAGTGTGTACTGTACAGTTCAGAGTCACAGAGCCTCCTGGCTGGATGGTCTCAGACGCTGACTGATGGACCAAAGCTGGGACGTTCAATGAATCCATTACAGTGATTAAAGTGCTCTGCAGCATGTCTAATGAGTATAGATAGCAACTTATGCAATAATAAGTAGCAGAGTCTGAAATATGCAAGTCTCTGATTGTCAAGTGATATCTGCCATTTTCAGTATCCAGTGAGAAGCGTGAACTATTCTTGAACTCTTCCTCAAAATAAACTTTTTTATCATATAAATAGAAAGTAGAGATGAGTGTTGGTTTCTGTCCCAGAGTTTGCTTGTACCAGTAAAGCCTTGCAGTGGCAGCACCGCCATAGTAACATTTCAAAGTCAAGTCTTCCCCAGTGTTGACTGATAGAAAACCACTGTGAGGATGAACAGATGAGGATTCCAGATCAGTCGTCTGAGCTGAAGTGAAATAAGATACAAAGAAATCGTACATTTAATTTAATTTGACAGACTTCAGAATAATCAGTACATTAAAAGTGTTTCATTTGCATAAGCAGTGATCTTACACCAAACGATACAAGTCTGAGCGACAAAAACACAGCTCACCTGTTATCCCCAAGCACAGACATGTGAGGTAGAGAGCAAACATTGCAGATGCCATTGTGCACAATTTCTGTGTGAAAAGAAAAGACACGAATCCTTCCTCCACTCTAAAGAGACGAGACTCTGTTTGATTGGCCAACCTGAGGTGCACTGTGTGTGTCCTAATCAGGAAACTTTACGTGGTTACTGCCACCAATAGGGTCAAGTTTTGGTTTTTTTTTCTAGCAGAGGTGTGTGCCTTTGTGACAGAGACATACTGTACATAAAAGCTTCCGATCCGGCAATAGATCTAAAATCAGTGAAAAATGATCTTCATTTCCAATACAAACAGGGAACAAGACACATTGGGCTTTTTATATATAATGTGTTTGACACTGTGAGTGCATAAGCAGTCATATATTTCCGTTAAAATCCACTGTATTGGACTGGCAGCATATATCAAATAAAATCAGTTCTGTGTGTTATTTAAATAGCCCAATATCACACATTACATATTTCTCTTCAGGGGTCTCTGGCTTAAGAGATGTCCTTTTCAGAGTGACAACACCCTTACATCCTGCCGAAAACCACAAATGTATTGAGTGCACTACAATACACGCAATAAGCATGTTGGGGTAAGAATGTCAGAGAGTAATGATTGTTTCAGTTCTTTTCCACATAGGTTCATACTGTAGTAGTTTATGGTGATAAAACATTTAAGCATCTCATGAAGGCGCACATATGAAATATGAAAGTGGTTGGGGGAGGGTTGTAGACCCCCTTTCAGGAAGTTTTAGGCACCAAACACTTAACTGCATTTTGGTGATTTTTTTATGCATCAATTTGTATCTTTACTTCCTACAAAATAAAAGTCCTTTGCTACATCATTTAAAATATTTTTTGAGGGGGGGCAAATGCATACGTTTAAAACCTCTACACCTATGAAGTGAATGGCACTGTTTTGGTTTCTGGTTAATGGAAGTTCTGTGAGCTTGTAGCATGTTTCCATAATTCAGTGTAGGTTGTTTATATAAGCATTAGCTTTGCATTAAGAGTATGGATCAGAGGAGGAACTCTAAAGCTCAGCACTCTTGTGAAATGCATTCACTTTTGTCATTCTGGAGTTTAGCAAGCTTTACATGGCAAAGGATCAGGAGGTCTTCAAAGGTAAACTTTTAATAAGGTAAAGGCCTGGTTTGTTGGAAAGACGATGGCATACAAGATGTAAATTTTCATTTGGACATAAGCACCAGCCTTATATTGATTTCTTTATCAACTATGTGGGAACTTGATATAAAACCATTGGTAACAATAATCTGAATTTTAGCAGAAATATATGATTTGAACCAGGCGTAAGCAGAATCATCAAGACCAATTGAAGGCAGTATATTTAATGAAATGAGCAATGGCACCAAAAAGTCAGAGAGAGTTTACTATTTTGGTCAACATCAAGCTGGAACCACCGTTGTTAAACAGAGGGGGTGGCTTACGCCATTGTAGTCGAAACAATAGCACAGGGAACTTTCAGGGCCTCATTTTTTGTGAAGGTCACTCCTTATGCCTAAACCTAACCGATAAACCAACCAGCAAAGGCAACAAGTTCTAGCCAATAAAAGGCAGAGTAGAAACATCCCTTGGGAGCAATGCTCGTTTGTCTTCGAGATACTGGACTGTCAGACAAATGGACTTTCAGTCCAATGGCGCATTTCTCAGACTATTGAGGCCGAATATGAGGATGTTGGAACTAGGCATGTGCCGGTTACCGGCGTCACGGTTTACCATGGTAAAAGAATGTCACGGTGTCACTAACCGCCCATTTTCCGTTCCGACGGTACAGGCCGATGGTGTAACCTACGCTACGTTTCATAAATGGGAACTTCCGGAACTCAAAACTCAGAAATAACTCTGTGCCAGTCTACATTTTAACTGGCACACACTCTGAAATCATGCATGTGCAGCCGCTGCAGTCAGCACAATTACTGGGGGGGGCAGCCTTAGTCAGTCAGTCAGTCAGTACGTCAGTAATCAGTGTAAATCCACTCACGTGCAAACAGCAAACATGGCTGGAGGAGGCGAAGCTGAACTTTTCCCACCGGTGAAAAGGACGAAGTCGGAGGTGTGGGACCATTTAGGCTATCAGAAGAACTCCCAGAGCCAAGGCAAAGACTAGGGATGGGTAACGAACTCCGATATTGAATGAGCCCTGGGGCTACATTCTTCAAAACCGCAGTATTGATAAGCTCTGACCTTAACGGTTCTGCTATCGGTACTGGAGCAGTCGCATTTTTTTTAATTTTGTTTTTTTAACAGGATAAACGTTATCTTGCACATTTATCTCACCAACTCCATCAATTATGTGTCATTGTATCATAATTTTCGCTATTCTCCCTGAAGACGAGAGATCTGTCTCGCTCACCCTGGCTGCCTGCTGTGTGTGAGTGGAGAGCAGGGGGGCGGGGCTGTTGTTCCAGTGACACACACACACGCACACACACACACACACACACACACACACACACACACACACACACACAAGACAGCGCATACACTAACTCAAGCTCGTAGCCTACCTTTAGATAGATAACGATGGCGGAGAGAGCCAAACGGTCATTAGTGTAACTTTACATATTATAATTTTGGTACCATGACAACACTATTATTTTATGTATTTTACATTTGAAGTTGTATAAAGTAAAATGTTTTGTAAAAAATATTTTGTTGCATAATGAGAATTGAGAAAATAAAGCAATGTATGTTATTAATTTGTTTTTTCTTCCTCAAAAAGTATCAGTAAGAGTACCGTTAAAATACCGGATCGATAAGCAGTATCGATAAGAGTAGTAGTAGTACCGTTAAAATCTTAACAATACCCATCCCTAGCAAAGACCCGCTCCTCCCGTGCTGGGCTCCAGTTCCCAGTCGACCATGTTCACAGGCTGCTGTGCAAAGGAAACTATGTGGAGCGTGTCAGTGCCGGTGCCCCCATCTACCTGGCTGCTGTGCTGGAGTATCTGACCACTGAGATTCTGGAGTTGGCTGGAAACGCTGCCCGCGGCAAGAAGAAGACCCGTATCATCCCCCATCACCGGCAGCTGGCTGTCCGCAACCACGAGGAGCTCAACAAGCTGCTGGCCGGAGTCACCATCGTGAAGTTAAGAAACGGCTCTATTACTTTTAACGGGTCTTACCCATTTAAACAACTGGTGTGATGATGCGTTGCACTGACAGGAGATGCCTGGTACGTGCTGTCGCTTATGAACAGTCAATCGAATATTAGCCTACCGTTTTAAAGTGTACAGCACGAAAATATGACAACGCCTGTTTTATTATCATTATTATTATTATTATTATTAGTATTATTATTATTATTACCATGGTAGTACCGATTACCGTGGTATTTTTGCCCACGGTTATCATACCGTCAAAATCTCATACCGGCACATGCCTAGTCGGAACAATGGGCAATCGCCGTCAAGTCATCAAATTGGGCATCACTAGTGTAGGAGTCAATTACCGAAGGTAGATTTAAAAACCCTCCTGTGCCATGTAACTGTAATACCAGATCAGCTGAGTTTCAACTCAACTGATCTTTCATTGGAGTGGATGAGGTCATTTGCATGCTTTTCTGATACAGTTTGCAAGATGCTACCAGCCAAGAATGATAGAGCCAGAGGGACTTCTACTACTGAGTAAACACACATGTATATATGTTGTCCCAAGATCGAGGGGGCCCATGAATATATTAGTTTTGTTTGATCAAAGAACACATGTGAAGCACATACAGTACATTGATCTGGTTAATTTGGACATACTTAATCCTCAAATTGAGTCCAGATAATATTATTACATCAAATGGCAGTCTATCTGTCCGTCCGTCCATCTGTCCGTCTGTCAGTCCGTCCATCCGTCTGTCTGTGAGATCAACCACACTCTTTGATAAACATGGTGCCACCACCCACTTATATATGAAGTGCACGCACACATTGCTTCAAGCTGAAAGTGATCCAAAATTCTGATTCTATTTATTTAATTATTAACAACATAGATTTCACATACAAAACCACACATAAGATTTGGTTAAAAAAACAATGAGGATAAACACAATAGTATACAATAATCTTGACCTGAGTGATTCTTACAGCATCAGTGGATCTGAGCTTCTAAATATACAGGTAAAGTCCTAAAAGCATTTATTTATATGTGCTCAAAATAATCTTGTAATTTCAAGAACATTGTGGAGACACTTCAGACCCCACAGATAATACAGAGTATCCTAATTTATGTACAAAAAAACAATAAAAGCATATTTATTTCAAAGGTAGATATAAATGTACATTACATGTCAAAAGTAGGCACTAAGAACATCCTGTCTTACTCAACATACAGATGTTACATGTCCAGTTCTACTGCTTTACACTGTAGTACACACATTCACTCCAGGTCTGATCCCTCTGTCTTCTTGATCTGTTGGACAGGTTGACACTTAAAGCAGCATAATAGAGTTTTTCTGCATGTTGGTAACCCTGGTGATAAAATATTTATCAGTTGATTATTATGTTCTTGACAAAAATTAAAACAAACAAAATGTATTGTGCAATCAAAATGGTTACTTGGCTGGTAACAGTTTGTACTCACCTGTGCATCAGCTGTGGAGGGAGCTGGAACTCTTGCATCAGACTCTGGTTGTGAAACAGAAAAAGCTTTTAAAAGCCAAATTCAGTGAAAGCAAGCTGTCAGATAATAACAGTAGCAGTTACATGTACCTGTAGATTTGCAGTTGTTTCTCTTGTCCTTGTTCATCATGCACACTGAGATAGCCAGTAACACACTCAGGGTAATGGCTCCACTCAAGAAATACACTAAGACATTAGTGTCTGCCTCATCTGCAGATAATAAGACATCAGAAACAGAGCTTTACTAAGTTTGTTTAGGTAGTATCAATGAGTTCTTATCAGACACACCAACTTTTGCTCAAAGGTTACTTACGCTCAAAGTCCAGCTTGGTCCCTTCTCCAAACAGTATGTGTCCACATGAGGCAACAGCACAGTAGTAGGTCCCAGCATGAGAAAGATTCAGGCTCTTCATCGGCAGGTTGTAGACACAGGTGTGTGTTTGTGTGTCAGGTTTCCTCTCACACTGATCATTCCTGCCTCCATGGCTGTAAATGAGTCCTGGATGAGACTCTTGAGAGTTTTTGAACCAGTAAACACTGTATTCTCCATCACAGCTCCCAGTGTGTACTGTACAGTTCAGAGTCACAGAGCCTCCTGGCTGGATGGTCTCAGACGCTGACTGATGGACCAAAGCTGGGATGTTCCAACTTGAATCTATTACAGTGATTAAAGTGCTCTGCAGCATGTCAAATGAGTATAGATAGCAACTTATGCAGTAATAAGTAGCAGAGTCTGAAATATGCAAGTCTCTGATTGTCAAGTGATATCTGCCATTTTCAGTATCCAGTGAGAAGCGTGAACTATTCTTGAACTCTTCCTCAAAATAAACTTTTTTATCATATGTATAGAAAGTGGAGATGAGTGTTGGTTTCTGTCCCAGAGTTTGCTTGTACCAGTAAAGCCTTGCAGCTGTAGCACCGCCATAGTAACATTTCAAAGTCAAGTCTTCCCCAGTGTTAACTGATAGAAAACCACTGTGAGGATGAACAGATGAGGATTCCAGATCAGTTGTCTGAGCTGAAGTGAAATAAGATACAAAGAAATCGTACATTTAATTTAATTTGACAGACTTCAGAATAATCAGTACATTAAAAGTGTTTCATTTGCATAAGCAGTGATCTTACAACAAACGATACAAGTTTGAGCGACAAAAACACAACTCACCTGTTATCCCCAAGCACAGACATGTGAGGTAGAGAGCAAACATTGCAGATGCCATTGTGCACAATTTCTGTGTGAAAAGAAAAGACACGAATCCTTCCTCCACTCTATAGAGACGAGACTCTGTTTGATTGGCCAACCTGAGGTGCACTGTGTGTGTCCTAATCAGGAAACCTCACTGCTCACATGGTTACTGCCACCAATAGGGTCAAGCCTTTTTTTTATACCTAAGGTATTGCACCTTTTTGACACATACAGTACTTACTCATGTAGATACAACTGATTTTATTTGTCTTCTGCTGCCAGTCCAGTACAGTGGATTTTAATGGAAATGTATGACTGTTTATGATACTCAATGCATCAAACAGAAAAAAATCCCAATGTGTTTGTTCCCTGTGTGTATTGGATTTGAAGATCATTCATTTTTACTGATTTTAGACCTGTTGCCAAGGTAAGAAGCTCCTATGTACTTCACATACAGTACCACTAGGCATAAAGTTGGACATGCTTGTAACTTTTAAATAGCAGGTTATTGTTGGCCCTCCTCCAGGGGGCATGTGTGCATGGTTAAATTAGTTTTTAAAATAGAGATCTAAGTTTATTTTGGGAGGCACTTCATCATGTAAATTTTGTCTTTTTTGTAGGGCTGCCCCCTTATAGTCGACCAAATGTTAGTCGACCAGAAAGGTCATGAGGTGGCAAGATTTCATTGTTGGTTTAGTCACAGAGGAAAAAAACAAAAACAAAAATCAAATGTGAAACTAAATTAGGAGCTGTACCCTGTCAAAATAAATCAAAACCTTTATGACTGGACCATGTAGGAAATTTGAAAGTAGAAACACAGGGAGAGGCCACGCTCAGCAGTCACATTACAAACCAATCACAGCCGTCAGATATCTTTCCCTTCGTACGTGAATATAAGTCTGTGATAAATCAAGGCTACCCAGAGCTTTACATCTGTCCCACTGATGATAGGCCTACACACTTAAACACAGCGCCTGGAAGTAAATCAGCCCTGCACTAGGGATTTCAGGTAAATAGAAAAACATTCGTCAACTACAAACATGACATATCATCTGAAACATGTAAGCGTTATTGATGTTGTCAGGGATTATCTCCAGGAGCTGCCTCTTGTTCTGGGATTTAATCATTGTTGCATCACGGTCAAAAGACAGGTGGTGCTTCTTTTCCTTCATGTCTGCAGCAGAGGTGCTCTTTGCACACCCTCCCCTTCTTCACTCAATCTATATATAGGCTATATTTATGATTAAAACATGGGTAGGGTTAGGCAACTAATCCACTTGGTAAAGGTTAAGGAAAGCTTGTTTTTATGATTAAAAAAAGGCATATATTATCTACAGGTCTGGGTCAAGATATGACCTCTGGTCTGATGCCAGGGTTGGGCAGACACATTCCACAGCACCACACAGTATACATCAGTGTGCAGAACCGACAAAAGTAGAATTGCCCCTGAGGCCATTACAGTAATACCTTGTATGATACAACATCCCTTCCCGCCCACCCATCGTCCTATCCCCAAATTTCTCCTTCCTTTAAATATTTCTAAGGCACAATGTCTAGGATTTAATATGCAGAGCTCCAACATCCATGGAATCAGATTTTGCTTTTTATTCTTTATGTCAAGGGCTGAATTAAAATGCATTGAGAGATGATGTTGTTTGGGCATAATGAAAATGGGATAAAAGGGGCCTCCAGGTCTCCAGGATTTTTTTCTCTGAACCACTGGCAGAGAAGCACAACATCTCTTATTTTAGGCAGGACATAACGTCTCAAAGCCACTGGCCAGATGTGGGCAGGGCAGCCTCCTTCCATTTTAATAAGATAGCATGGCCGGCCAAGAGCAGAGCAAAAGTCCCCATACAGTGCTTTGCAGATGTCAGGTTGGGCTTGTCTCCACTAGCAATGCCAGACAAGGCAACAACAGGATTTTGGACAGGAGACCTAAAAGCCCTATGGACCACCTTAAATTGCAATAAGGCTTGTCTTGCGCAAAGTGAGGATCTATGTATTGTTGAAAGAATAAAGACCCATTGGTCCTCAGATATAGGTCCAAGATCTTGTTCCCAGGCTGCCTTTTTTCTATGTAAATGTGTACATGTCAGCATTGAGATGTTTCTATATAATTTAGAGTGCACCTCTGGACAATGGATTAAAGCAAAGAAATGTATCAATTGACCCTTTGCTAAGTCCCAACCCTGGATGCAGACTAGCCAATCATAACGTAGCATCAGGCTGGCTAAGACAAGGGTCCTACAACAACACAGCTGTGCTCCATTGACTCTAATGCAGTCGTTTCAGATTTCCTTCATTTTCAGGCTGGTTTTGTGGATTTGGAGCTAAATGTTGTGCCTGGGGCACGTCGTGTATTAATGATACTCGTTNATGTTTTCATTTTGCATAGATGTAATCAGATCATTAATCAATGAATCGATGTATCGATGTGGATCAATGTATCGTTACACCCCTAATAAGTAATAGAAATACTGCCCATCCCTGCCCTCTGTCTGCTTCTCTCTGGAATCACTGTTTCAGTTTTTTCAAAAATATAATATTTCTTCAAGGAGTGCAATTAGTTACAACCCATTCTCGGAACCCATCGGCTGTATTCGGCGTCTGACTTCCGGTAGACGGCGATACAGCCTCTGGGGGCAGACCCCCGATTTTTTGGCATTCCGGTTTGGAGGAGGCGAATTTCCGTTTCCGACTTCCGTTTCCTCCCCCCGCTCATATAAGTAAATATGCTGAACCACTGCGATGGATTCAGAGTTTGCAGCGATGGCAATTATGTTCCGCCTCGTTAGTTCACCGCACGGACCGTTAAACCTGGCAACAACTGCAGCCGGCTCAAATGTGATTGGTCAATATCACGCGGATTACAAACAGCCTACAACCGGAAACCAGGGCTCTTCCGCTCTTCTTCCGGAGGCAAGATCTCCGGGGTTACATTCACTGAATGTAGAGTCTGTATATAGAGACTAGTTACAACCCAACAACATTCACACCATAAGTATTTGAAATAAAGCTATTTCAAGTTGCACATATGTTGGACTTTAATTTTGGCAATCTTCCAAATTGACACAGCAATAATCCTGGATCCTGAGTCTGTATGTAATCAGAGTTGTCCTTGATTAAAATCAAATCATTGTCAAGATTTATTTCCAGCAACCCAAAATCAAAATCTAACGTGATCTTCCTCACAATTTACTGGGTTTCATAATCTATAAAGGACACTGGTAACATGTTTTATACGTCCTATAGATATAGTCCAGTTTATCTTATTTTAATATCTGCATTTTGTTTGGTTACATGTCTAATAATTCAAAAATAACTAGCTGTTCAATTTTCACACTGGCATGTTTACAATCAGACAATCAGCTACAGATATACTATGCAGGATTTTCCTTACAACAATATATAGACTCATACAAAAGTAACACCCCCCCCCCCCCCCCCCCTCAATCTCTCCCCCTCAGTTTTTCCTCTTATTTTCTGTGTTCAAGACATTTATCTGTGTATACTGCCAAAGCACGCGAGGTGAGGTGGGGTTTTTTCTAAAAACGTAGCAACCAGGTGGCAGACCACAAGGAAGTTACACAAACAGTAAGACATGTCAGACAAAAAAAAATCTACATCAGACTTGATATAATTAGATAATAACAATAATAACTAATTCAATTTTACTGAAAAAGTAAAAATGTTACAGTTCTATTGCTTTACACTGGAGTACACACAGTCATCATTGGTGATGGTTCTCTGTCTTCTTGATCTGTTGGGCAGGTTGACGCTTAAAGCAGCATAATGGAGGCTGTCTGCATTTTGGTAACTCTGGTGACAAAGTATAGAAGTGGATTAGAATATCCAAATTTAAAATACAACTTAATGTGCAATAAAAGGGGGATTATTAAAGTAGGTTTCACCTCTGCATTTGCTGTGGAGGGAGCTGATGATCTTGCTTGTGACTCTGTTTGTGAAACAAAGAAAATGATCTTTTACTCCAAAGTTCTGTTAAGTGAATACAAGCTGTCAGATGTAAGCAGTACTGCTTACCTGTACATTGGCAGCTGTTTCTCTTGTTCATCTTGTACACTGAGAAAGCCAGTAACACAACCAGGATGATGGTGAATGCCAAAGCTCCGCTCAAGAAATACACCAAGACAAGAGAAGCTTCCTCATCTGTCGAGAGCCAGTCATCAGAAACAAACATTTTATACCTTTGTTTAGACAAAGCTGGATCGGAAAGTAACTATGAATAACTATTTATCAACCAGAAAGTTACTTACGCTCAAAGTCCAGCTTGGTCCCGTCTCCAAACAGTATGTGTCCACATGAGGCAACTGCACAGTAGTAGGTCCCAGCATGAGAAAGATTCAGGCTCTTCATCGGCAGGTTGTAGACACAGGTGTGTGTTTGTGTGTCAGGTTTCCTCTCACACTGATCATTCCTGCCTCCATGGCTGTAAATGAGTCCTGGAT